GACCAAGTTGCGACAACGAGGTCAACCCACTTCTATAAATTGAAAGGAGACTGCGACCATACCAGAGGCCCCAACATCTTGGTCTTCATATCTTCAATGGCATGTATAGTTTGTGGAAATGATGAAAATTGTAACATTTTCAATTCAGTAGTAACTTGGTGCATAGCCATGTAATGTAAAAGGTAAGGTAAAATAATAGCTTGATAAAAAACAACACCAGCAGTCATCTGGCAAAGCCTATTCATATTTCACCCGGCTAAGAGGAAGTAGAAATTTGTATAATAGCGTGGAGATGTAACAATTTGCTATTTATATCTTATTTATAATAGCATTCAAAGAAATTTAAGTTAAGTGCTTTCTTTGAACATAAATCAAAGATGAGCCAAATATATCACTTCTGCTTAGAATCTATTTATTTATACACTCTCTAGTCAAAACAAAACTTACGTTTACAGGAAATTAAGAAGAATAATGATATTCTGAAGTATGCCAGAGAAATAAGAGTAACTAATTCATTTGAATACAGCTCTTATATAAGATCTACTAGAAATTTAGAAACCTACTCAAAAACGAAAAAATAATGGGTGCTTATTTTGATAAAAAACCTTTTACCACCAGTCTTAGTCAGGCCAAGCCATACAGATAGCCTCTCGATTTATAGACTTAGCTCGATCTAGTATCCTAGCTATGCAAACTCATGTGAAATATGGCCCTCAAAAGTCCATAAAGAAAAATGAATGCCAAATGACAAAGATTGGAAGGCAGGCAATTCGGTGCTAGTCATTTGTGTATGCTGAAGCCGCTGCAGGGGGGATGTAGCAGCATTATGAGTAATATAGGCATGCAAAACAGAGAATTCCACAAAAGACTGTAATAAAAACTATAGTATAAAATAAAGTGTATGCGAAAAAAGAGTGTTACTTCACCAGCAAGTAATACGTATAGCACTAGTTCGACAGAGAATGGGGTTTAGCTTGGAAACTCAGAATGTTTACCTGATAATTGTTGTTGAAACCGGGGTGGTCGAGGTCATGGCAGACAGCTGAGAAGAGCATCACGAAGAGGTCCAGTTGATTAAAGCAGGCTGCCAAATCGGCCAATTTGATGATAGAGTACATCTGATGATGAGGAATAACGTCATAAACAACTGAATTTACGGTTCACTAAGATTATTACAAGAAAGCCTAATAGAGGCATAATTCGTCTGAGCTAATCAATCTTACAAGAAATAAACAATTATTATTATTATTATTATTAGGGCGGCAATAGAAACATAGTGATCGGAAGAAATGCAAATTAATCATGAGCAGAGGTTTGCTTGTACTATATTACCGGGAATTTTGTCAATCTAGAATGCTTGAAGATGAGTTATGAAAGAAAAGCATGAGAAGATAACAATGGCTCTTGGGAGAGTCTAAAAAAATATTGCTTAGCTTATTAATAATTTTTTTTACGACATCATTAACCTAGAAGCCGCGTCCGACTGCACACAGATTGGGCTAACTTAGGCAGATACTTCATCTTCCATCAAGGAGAGAGCAAGGTCACATCTGAGCAGGCCAACTAGCTGTAATGTCTGCCCTGTTCGAGATGGTGTCTCGATGAGACGGTATGAAATACCAATTCTGGCGTGCATATACTTTGGACCATTTTGCCTGGCATAGACTCCGATAGGTGGTGCTGGAGTTCCGGTTATACAAAGCGTTTATGGTCAGGCAGGATAGCCTCCAATAGGACCAGAAAACACCTTTTAACAAGACGTCTGGCAAGTTTGCCAAGACGAAAGCTTCAACTTGTTGACAGGAGAGGGTACATTCAGACTGTACATTCAGCGTGAACATGACACCAACAAATCTACTGCTCCCCATTCATAAAGCATTGAATGCTTGCCTTATGATAACTTCCATAGATTGCTCAAATGAAGCATTCGCGAACAAGCAGCAAGCAAGGTTAGCATTTTGTCCTTCTCATCCAAATCCTACAACCTTTTCAGAACCGATAGTAGGACAATACGTAATTTCCAGACTGGTTAATGATATATTTACGTCATTTTAATAGGGAAATAGGGTTCCAGAGGAGAGACATTACTTTTCGCTATAAGCAAACCATAGATTCCGAGCAACCGGGAAACAATAGACTCTTTTTAGCCTGATCAAAGTAAGTCGCCCTGACAACACGACCAAGTTGCGAATACGAGGTCAATCCACTTCTACGTCACCCATATTCACTTAGCGTAGATATCTAAATTATTAGTAAATTTTGAATAAGAGTTGATTCACTTTCTGACATCCAAAGCATATTCAAGATTTACGGATAGTTAAGAAACTTACTCTAAATAAACATAGAGTAAGATTCAAAGGAATCACTCACCATCTGGGCAACTGTAAAGGCATGTTTGAAGTTATGAAATGGTACATCATTGTAGCGTCGATATACGACGCAAATCCAAGCATTTAAGATTCCAGAGCTGAGAAAACATGGCTCCTGATCGAGGCCGATCACATCGTGGAATGCGAAACGCAGCAATCCGAGTAGTTGAGCATCGGTATACAACCAGTTATTGAAAGTAGGCAGTCCCAGAGCTGCCTTCACTTCCTCAGAAAAGTCGTCAGGACTGAAGCGACCGAGAGTATGGGCGCAAAAGCAATAAAGGTAAATAGGACCGGAAAATATATCAGTGTTTGATTATGTAGTTCAAGCATAATACCCACAAAATAGCCACAAATTATATGAGCAAAGTTGAATTTGTTTCATTGAAACTACTAGTATATGAAAAAAATCCTTAAAAGCAGACTCGACGAGTTACATTTATAAAATTCGCTAAGGTTCAATGTAAATGCTTGATAATCATGCTTTGACTCATATCAAAAATTTTACCTGATAGATTGGTCTGGAATTAAAGAAGCTTCAACTAACAGTATTAACTCTTGACTAAAGTGAGATAAAT